TAAGCCAATTTATGTAAGCTCAGAAATGGAATCATCTTTGAAAAGTTTACAAAGTTAGTTAATCATGTTACCATGGAGGTTACAAATATTTAAGATCATGAATACCAAGTACCAAGAGGGTTTGAAGGCTTAGATGCTAAATGAATTGAAGAAAATAAGTTTCGTCGAAAGTCGACAAGTTGGGAATGTTGTAACATGTACTTTTGGGGCGAGAATAGGGTGTTCAACATTATAAGGAGATTATATTATGAGTTATTTTACACGTATGATAGTTGGTGTTATGTTTTGAAGTCAACCGAGTTGTGGAACAAAAGTTGGAAAAGGTCATCACAAGTTCCATTCATAAATGTGCTGAAAATTAGGTCAAATGTAACTGAGCTTTCCTCCGAATATACTTGGAATTAGGGGATGATATACCTACCAAATTGAAGATCTATGAGTCTAGTTTCTAAATCATTAAACCTTTTGTCGATACAAAGTCGGAGTAGAGAGATACTCGTATTTTTGTGAGACCGCGCAGGCTGGTAGGTGACAAGTAGGTGCATCACCTACTTGCTAAAAGGAGAGGCCTCAATTAAGTCGGCCAAGAGGGTACTTTTAAGGGATAATTAACTCATTTGTTTCACTCATATTTCATACCATTAAAACCAGAGTGAACCCCTGCAACTCCTCCCCAAAAATCCCACACAAACCCTAGGTTATTTCGGATGTTACGATGTGATTCTAGTGCCGAAAACCCCGGACAGCTTGCTAGTTTCTCTTTCTCCTTCATGTAGCTGCGTTGGGGGAATGATTTTTGATGGAGAAGGACTAGGTTTCGTGGTTCTACTCAGTCCAATGTAAGTTTATGCTTCTCCTTCCATTATCTATGCTTGTACGAGTTGTAACTCGACCGTAAAGACTAGACCTAGCGAGTTTCGAATGAGTAGTATGTTGTTTGTTGTTGCATCACTGTTGGCTGGTTGTGAACTTATTTTTAAGTTGAATTGATGGCTGGTTTTTAGGATAAGAGGCTTAATTATGTACTGTTGGTTGTGTTGCTCAATTTGAAAGAAAAGACAAATCGAAACATGTTTTAGTAAACCGAAGAATCACTTATGAGTTGTTGAACTTGTGAGACTGTTTTGTGGGCTGTTTCGTGTTGCTGTTGGGTTATCTATTTTGCTAATGTTTTTATGGAGTTTGGGAGGAGAAAGATTATGGAGAAACACCACATAATGGCAGGGTGGTTAGCTGGTCGTTCGTCGTTACATTTTTTTAGGTTGTTGGACACTATTTTGGTTGTCGTTTTATGTATGAAGTGATTAGGTTGTGTAGGCTGTTTTGTGGTATGTTGTGATGGAGATAAGGTTGGAATATGATTCATACATGTTGTTATTGTTGTGTTCTTGCTGTTATTGGTATATAGTATTGGAGGATGGCCTTGTTATAGGGGAGATGCTGCCAAAATTTACGTAAACAAGCTACTAGTTTAAGTTGCGGACTTAGCCTTTACTCAACACTTATTTTGAATCTCCTCATGCTGTGGTAGATTAAATTGAGTTGTTTGAAGAATTGCTTGGAAGGCATTAAGGACTCAACGGAGTTAAGGTATGTTAAGGCACTTCCTTCTTTCTTTTGGCATGATCTAAAGTGAAATGAATATGCTATTTCATAACGGATCTACTCCTAGAAACTAAGGTTGTCCATGTTGTTCTTTCCGTTCCTTGAATCCTACTGAGGTTCATATTGAGGGTATAGATGTCCATAATGTTCTTACGTCACTCCGAAAGGTTTAGAACATGATTCCATGAGTCTAGCATGCATTATATATAGTGTCTATTTTACTCTACCGAGCCGCGCTATAGTCAGCCGGGTATGGCACCTATTGTGCAACCACTGATCAGTTGGGTTTACCGAGCTCCACGTGGCCGGGTACGATTCTACCGAGCCTTATGATGGCCGGGTACGTTTTTACCGAGTCCTCTTTGAGGCCGGGTATGATATGATGATGATGATGCCCACAGAGGCGTATATTTTTAAAAGCTTATGTATATATATGTATTATGCATTTCATGTCAGTAGCCCCCAGAGGCACTCAGATGTTACAGGTTGTATCTCCTCTATCTCTCTTTACATTACTGTTCTTGTTTATGCTTTCCTGCCTTACATACTCAGTACTTTATTCGTACTGACGTCCCTTTTGCCTGGGGACGCTGCGTTTCATGCCCGCAGGTCCCAGTTGATAGGTTGACAGTCCTCCAAGTAGGCTATCAGCTCAGCGGAAGTGTTGGTGCACTCCACTTGCTTCGGAGTTGCCTATTTGGTCAGTATGCTTTGGATAAGTATTGATTGGTAAGGCGGGGCCCTGTCCCGACCTTTATGATTTTATGTACTCTTAGAGGCTTGTAGACAGATGTCAGGTGTATGGATACTTGTATGGCCTTGTCGGCCTATGTTTTGAGTTTATAAATGGTCATGTCGACCTTATAGGCCCGTATGTCACATATATAAGTTTGTATATCATGTTGGGTCATCATATGTTGAGTATTCCCTTATGTTTTATTCTTGTTATCTCATGACGGGTTTTCTAGCTCATCTACCCATTATAGTATGATAAGAAAGATATGTTACGTTGGTACTCGGTTGAGTAAGGCACCGGGTGCCCGTCGCGGCCCTTCTGTTTGGGTCGTGACAAATTTTTAACTGTTCTATTTTGCAGGAACCATCAAAAGGAAAAGAAAAGCAATCTCAAGCTATCTAAAGGTGTGATTGTTAAATCAATGGACCTATACAAGGAACCAAAAGGCTGCTGATCTACTCGGCCTCAATCAAGGCAATCAGTTTTCCAATAAAGGAAATTAGTTTTCCAATCAAGGAGTTATTGCCATATTCAGCCTCCTTAATTAAAGCTCAGTCAAGGGATTGACTGTCTCGTAAATGAAAAGCTCTGACAAAGGAAAGTCACGATCGAATCTGGTCTTTCCCAAAGGGCATAATTCGAAGAGGCACCCCTTCGGTCAAGTCCTTTCAAAGATCTCGTGCCTCTACTTTTAGTCAAGGACTCTGGCTATTTTCCTCATGTATAAGAAGGTTGCTTGGTTCAATAGGAAGACTTGCGCAACTACATACATTGCCTTCTAAGTCTCCCTAGTTCTTAGCCTAAACACTGTAATCTAAAGTTTATCAGTGTCTCAAAAGATAGGAAGAAGTTAGATCACAAAAGAGAGTTGTGTCTTTATCAAGATTCACTGATTATTGTACTTCGTCGATGGTGAACGAATCAAAACCATCCATGTTGTAATTCTTTCAATATCTAAAAGGAATCCTTGTGACCCAAGGAAAACTGGATATAAGTACCACACCGGTACCGAACCAGTATAAAATTGTTGTGTGTCTTCTTTATTTATTTACTGTCACTTTACTTCTGCTCTCGATCTAGTCAACTAAAATCACCGTTAGTCGACTAAGTTTTTAATAGACCACAATTCACCCCCTCTTGTACATTCACAAATCAGTTCCAATATCTGAAGCCGCGTTGTCATTTTTGTCTTTTCTGTCTCTAAAGGAGGAAAACATGCATAATTTAATTTATATTTTTTCGTGGCTTCAATGCAGCATTGCCACTTTGAAAGACCACGTTCGTCTGTTTATTCTTTGAAGAGACGATGAACAAAAACAAAAAAAAGCATAGTTAAAAATCAAAGAATTAAAACACTTATGAATAATACAAGTGTCACATACATGGTTCCTTGAACTCCTTATAAGAAATCCCACATGGTGTGGAGCCAAAGCAAAGAGACAGTGAGGGGCACTTTGCTGTTTAGTGATAGGAAATTATTGAACTATAAAATATAAGTGCAAAGGTTAGTTGTGCATTATAACTGTATGAATGTGATTCTTCCCCATTGCTAGAAAGGTATATGTGGGTCATGAAATAGTTGGGACAATTTGCTTCTTTTTTTTTCAATTTATTTTTCTGATAATACCGTATCTAGGCATTGTGATAATGGATCCTAGATAAAAATCTTAATTAATTATTTTATTTCAATTTTGGTGGGGTTGGGAGAGGATTTATTCTATCTTCATCACCAAACCAACAATTCCAGAATTTGTTTATAATGATGGACGGTTGCATTCATTGTGAAGTAATTCCAGTTTATGATTAGCTTTTTGAGTGTTCATGTCCGTTCTTGTATCATCTTCTCCAACTTTTTTTTTCGGGGTTGGAGGGTGGATGGTCTGTTGTGCGAGTTAGGAGTGGGCATTCGGGCAGCTCATATTGGATATAAAAAATTTGATTTGAATTTTTGGTTTTCAAATTGAAGAAATGACAATTCAAATCCAATCTAAATAATCTCGGATTGGATCGAATATTTTAAGTTCCATTCCAGATTTTCGATTTCATGTTAAATTGCCTAAAAAATTTCTTATTCTCACCGCAATCATCCAAATAATTAAGTATTCAAGTAATAAAATTATTATGAAGAAAACAGAACAGAGACATTAATAAGTCCGATAAGAATTAGCAATAGCAAAAGCATATCCGGATAGAAAGTCTTCTGGCAGTAACTTAGTAATTAATATTAAATGTATGAGATAATACCTAATGGGCAAGGTATTGGATTTATACTATTGCCATATTAAATTAATATTAAATTCGAAATTCGATCCGTAATTTGAAAACTTAAACCAAAAATTCAAAAATTATTTTGATATGAAATTCAGGTTTGCCGAAACTATGTCCGCACAAGTGCGAATTCATATATATAGGTAAAATTACCTAAATTACTCAATACTCACGAGATTTACTATGTAAAAGCTCCTTTGACTTTCGTTAATTCATGAATTATTTAAAACCAAGTTTAAGTGTGTTAATCAAGCAATCAAATCTTTTGAAAAGATACTTTCTAACTTCAAAGTTAAACCCGAGTTTCAATTTTTTTAATTTCTCGATTCTTTATAATGCATCCGAATAAAGAAAATACGGAGTAACAGTTTTTTGACAGGGGTAAACATAAGTTCAATAAAGAATTAAGCTGAAATAAAAATTAATCATTGTATACACTTGCAAAACTAAAGAATCATTGGAAGCTAAGTACACTGGCGTTGGCCTCATCCTAGCTAGAAAAAAAGAAAGAAACAATATAATTAAACAAAAGCTAAGCTTCTAGATACTACTCCTATTTTTCTAACTAACTTAGAGATTGTTAGATATAACGCCTTAACGTTGGAGAGATTCAATCCCTATTATGATTTCTTGAACTGCTGCCGACGTAGTAGTATTGGTAGCTACTTGAGTGTCAGTTGTAGTAACAGAGCTGCCTCCATTCACAATTTTTTCAATAAGGCAGTGCCTACAAGTAGGACAAGAAGAGTGTGAATTTAGCCACTTATCGATACACTTGACGTGGAACCCATGGTTGCACTTGGGCAGAACCTTAACTTTTTCTCCAACTCCAAATTCTGATAAGCAAATTACACACTCGGAGTCAAGCATTTGATGTTTCAACTGAGTAGTGTAAGTTATAACTGGGAATGTTTTGAGGGTTTTTGTCTTGATCCCTGTATTGGCTAGCTTTGCTACAGAAGGGTTTGTATGGTTTGAGGATGAGTCTTCCATTACTCGGCTGACGCATCTCAATGCACACTTTATTAGGCAGTTCACGATAAGTGAACAAATTATGGAACATATAAGTACAGACAAGACAATCACAACATTCGCATCAAATGGTGGTTGATCTGTTGTGTCGTGGCTGATTTCGGTTGCAGGAGGCGGCGCCACGGTGGCCTCCGGATGGTATTGTGGCATTGTAGCTGGTATTAGAAGTAGTTTTCTTGAGTAGTGGAAGTTCTCCATTAATCTTTGATTCAATATAGTGGAAGTAGTTGCCATATAGACCTCAATTGGCTTTTGAATATATGTTTTTCTTTCAACTCTTTCTTTTGTTCATTGGTGTTGAATGAATTGAAGTCTTTCCTTGGAAGCAGTTGCGCATTTAAAGGGCTAACAGGTGTAAAGTGTGATCAACTTTTTTTTGGGTCTAAATATGAAAGGATATTATATTTTATTTTATCCTTAGACATTATTTCAGAGCTCCTAGCCATGTTTTCATTATCTAGCTTTAGTCTATCTATATATAATAGGAGAGACAAAGACATTATAGTAAACGAAGTTGCAACATAATAAAAAGTCACTTGAAATTTTAGGACAAAGTTTGTGTGGTTAGGTAATAATTACTTTCTTTTTGAATTTAAATTTAAAAACAACTAAATTATTCGTTATTTATTATTATAGTGAATCAAATCTCCAAACAAATCATATTAGGGACCCAAATAATGCTAATTGGGAGCCCTAAAGCCCAAGAATGGAGCAAGAAATTTCCCTTTTCTCTCCACAACAATGGAAAAGCTGCAAATGATTACACTTTTGGGGTTGTGGGGATTATGAATTATGTGTGTTGAAGTGTCCTTCCATCTCCATTTCATCTCATTCTCTTTGGATTGCAGTAGGTAACACATTAATACACAAACCTTTAAATTCATCTGATATTTACTTAACTACATATACGATGTCAAATTGTAGTAGCTCCTCCTTCACTTTTTACCCGTATTCACCATCTTTATAATACTAGACTAGATAAACGAGAATTTAAGGTGGTCAATAGAGGAAACAAATTGACTAGTGGGGAAACAAATTGGTTATCCGATTGTCCGAATGAAAAACTTCAGTGGCTAATTTGATAAGCTACTATATTCCATGTGCACGTATTACATACATGATTGGCAAGGAGAAATCAGTGCCTGTCATTATTTCAAGTCGATTGAGATTGAACTGATTAGTAATACAATACCAAAAAGTACTACTTGAGTCTTGTAAATATAATTTTGTAAATCATATATTGGCTATCTTTTGCTACGTGTGATTTAGCTTTTTCTCTTTTTCTGAAACTATGAGTGCTTTCATATAAATTCTAGATTCCTAGATACATGACCAAATCTTGCAGTTAGGCACTTTTAAGTTCGACTATACTAGTTCAAGTATTTGAGATTTCACCTGAGATCAGTCCCATATATATAGGATTTCTTGGTTAATTTAAAAATTCTCTCTTTTCTCAATCAAAAAATAAAAGAAATTGGTCAGACAAAGTTCTCTACAAATACTTTTTCTTAACATTAACTTAAACACACAACTTTTTTCTTACCTCTTCTTTAAAACAAATTAATTAAACTAAGACTAAAACTAAATCCAAAGGAGAACCTAAGAGAAGTCTCATTTCTTCAGAGAAGGTAGCACAGTGGCAGCTATTTTGTCTATATATGATTATAATAATAACGATACAATAATCCTTCTACTTTTCCTTTTTTTTTTTTTTTTTTTGTATTTTACTATTATACTAATGACCCTTCATGATCAAATCAGGTACTTAGGAGAAGTATCACATCTTGTAACAATTAGTTAGTATACATATAATATAGATCTTTTCAGCCAAAAAAGAAAAAGAAAAAAGAGAAGTATCATACAAGGAGAAAACCATGCCTATAGTGCCAGCAGTTCAGCATGAATAGCGGATATTACAGCTGCCTTCTGCGCAAACCTCACTATCCAATTGCCGGCATTGTGGTCTCTGATGATTCCACCAGTGCCGCTGGTTTGTTTGTTTTTATCAAAAGCTCCATCAATATTTAGCTTGTAGTGGTTAGTAGGTGGGAACCATCTTATTGGTGTGTGAAGCCTAGAGTTTGGTTTCATAGTAATCTGTGCAATTGAAATGAATTCAGCAACTTGTGTCGTAATTTTGTTCTGGTAGCAACTCCATCCAATCTTCTTTCAATAGCACTGGAATTCAACCAAATGCGCTATAATCCAAATTTGCAAAGATGCTTTTGAATCTCATACAATCCGTTGAGAGATAAATGCCACCTTTATCACACTCATCCCAAAAGTTAAAAATCCTGAGCAGTGTTGGGTTGCTTTATTAGGTTGTTGATTTGTAGTTACAGTAGATAGGCTAACATAGTAGTAAAATTGCCAAGGGGTGTTTGATACCAGAATGATAGATCAGTTCAGGTCGACAATGGGATGTAGGTATTTTTGATTTGGTGTATAGTATCAGGGTGTAACGTTAATGATAATCTATCAAAACACCACGAATGATTTGTAAAGATTGAAGAAACTGTTTGTTGTTCCATATATTATATAGGCCCCTGTACTGAGTAGCGTAAACAGTTATTATGAGGAACCCAGTTGTCATTCAAGAGATTTTTTTTTAATCTCCTATGTTACAGGAAAGCTTTGAACGGAATAGAGCATTTGCTTTGGTCATACTTTTCCATATATATGAATCACCATGTCTAGCCGCGTGAGTGTCTGCTCGTCGATGTTGGACATATTTTGCTTGTAGAATTTTTTCCCACAATGATTAATTGTTCTTATGGCATCGCTATAGTAACCCTGCGAGCATCGCATAATTCTTCTCACTGGTTTTGTAAAGCCCTAGTCCTCCGAGCAATTATTAAGTGGTTATAGTCTCCAAGTTAACAAGGTGGACTTTCCTTTTTTTCCGGAGTTGAACCCCATAGAAAATTTTATTGGATAAGGTCTATGTGGTTCCTAGTAGAAGTAGGCAGTATGTTGTTTTGCATGGAATAATTTGGTATGGCGGCTAATACTGAATGGATGAGGGTAGTTCTACCTGCCATGTTGAGAGTTTTTTCTTTCCAGCGTGAGAGCTTGTTGTTTATTTTGTCAATTATGAATTGATAGTTTTTGCCTTTGAGTGGTTTGTTAGGTGAAAAATCAGGTATTTACCAAAGTTAGCAGCCTTGCGGATGTTTAGGGAACTGTTAAGGCAATCTTGAGTGTTGAGCGGTACATTTTTGGAGGAAAAAACTTTTTAGTTAAAGAAATTAATTTTTTGCCCTGATTGAATAATAGAAGTTTCTTATAGGATAGCCTAGAACAGATTTCTATAACCCATACGCTGCCATGGGTCCTGTGTGGGGATTTTAAAGAAATTACTTTGGCTGCAGATAAATTCGGGGGAAACTGTATTAATAATCATCGAGCTAATACCTCACTCACCTGTCTCCAAAATATTCACAAGGTTGATTTACGGTTTACAAGTTCTAGATTTACCTGGTCAAATCTTAGAAGTACTAGAAATAGCCTAATCTTGGAAAGACTAGATCCCTTCTATGCAAACCCATCATGGCTTACTGCGCACCATGACTCCACTATCGGACACCTCTCACGCACACACTCAGATCACTGTCCAGTCCTATTATCACTATCAAAAAGTTCTAAGCCGAACAATTTATTTAGGCTGGAAACCATGTGGTTCAGCCACCCGAACTTTAACAACATTGTTAATCACCACAGGCACCAATCCTCCATATATATTAATGCCATAAAAAACTTCACCACCCTCATCAAAGATTGGAATCGGACTACTTTTAGAAATATTTTCCACACAAAAAAGGTCTTACTAGCAGGATTTCAAAATATGAACAATCGTAAAAGTCTCCCTACCACGAATACCTAGAAAATAACCTTTGTGACCAATATAATTTAGTACTAAAACAAGAAGAACATTTTTGAAAGTTAAAATCTAGAGTGCAATGGCTAAATGAGGGGGACACAAATACAAAGTTTTTCCACACTTCTACTAATCAAAGAAGAAGACGCAATAGGATACTAGGATTTAATGACTATGTAGGTAACTGGACTTACAATCATAATGAAATTAATTCAATCATCCTAAATCACTACAACGCCATATATTCATCTAAGCTTATGTCCAGAAAAATTGCTTCGCACGATCGATTTGATTACGCTCTATCTAAGGAGGATAGAAGCATATTATCAAAACCCATTTCAGAGGAAAAAAATCCATAGAGCAATAAAGTATTTCAATCCTCTCAAAGCGCCTGGGCCGGATGGACTCCATCCAATCTTCTTTCAAAAGCACTGGAATTCAACCAAATGCGCTGCAATCCAAAATTGCAAAGATGCTTTTGAATCTCATACAATCCGTAAAGAGATAAATGCCATATTTATCACACTCAACCCGAAATATAAAATTCCTGAGCACATATCCCAATATAGACCAATTAGCCTGTGCAATACTTCCTACGATTACCAACATTATCGTCAACAGGATTCGCCGTTCCTCAAACGTCTCATTAGTCCCAATCAATGCAGTGTCCTCCCAAGTCGAAAGGTTGTTGATAATGCAATCATAGTGCAAGAAGCAATCCACTCATTTAATCGCATGTCAAGATGGATGGGAAACATTATGCTTAAACTAGACCTAGAAAAAGTATTTGATAGACTTGAATGATCCTTCATACGCAAAACACTTTACAACTTAGGATTCCCCTTTACCCTAATCAAGCTTATTATGAATTGCATCTCCACCTCCTCCGTCTCAATTATGATAAATAGAAAACTAATAAACTTCTTTGAACCATCACGAGGCATTCGTCAAGGAAACCCACTATCCCCATACATCTTCATAGTTTGTATGCAATCATTATCCCATCAAATTGATCAAGCAACAGCCAATAACGACTGGATACTAGTCAAGATTAGTAGATCGGGACCACTAGTCTCACACCTGCATTTTGCAACCTGATACTATTCGTGCCTGCTGATCTACACAATGCCAGCTCTATTATTAATATATTCAACTCTCTCCACCTTCAATAAGGAGGTGCGCATTTGATTTAATTAAAGGACGAAGTAGCTTATCTAAATAATTGAAGGACCAAAATCAGAATAAAGTAGCAACTCGAGGACTAAAATTACTATTTTCCCAAACCATATTGCATGAAACAAGTATTTAGCTCAATTTCAATTCCAAATGTTTAAAACTACCAATTCTCTTACTTTACGGTTAGACGAGACTAGTGATAAATGGGGATTTTTACTGCTTATTAGCGCCTTTTAGCTTTTATTTTAGTCTAAAAAAGTATTGAATTGTGTTCCCCAAACTAATGA